AGCCATTGTGTATTTATTCACAGTATAAAAACTATAAACACAATGCCTTTTGCATCTACAATAAAGCAGTTGAACTAAGTCAGAGTTCAATTCTAGTAAGAACTTGGTAGAATTCAAATACTAGTCACTTAAATAGTTTGTTCTAATTCTTCTCCCAGATATATAAAGTCTAATCCTGTAATTCCGTATTAGTATCTCATGACAATCTAGAACCTTATTTGACTTCAATTACTCAGGCCAAGTTTTCCATGCCTCTTTCGTAGCCTGTCAATATTAAAGTTTAGTCTCTAGAATAGTTTTTTAAACAGTATTAGTACTGTATATGTAAGGCCCATATTTTTGTGCTCTTCCTACTTTTACATCATCTAACCTTTAAATACTATTACTTTCATCATTTTATACTATTTTCTTCTCTTAATTATCTAAAATTATTATGTTAAATACTGCTACAGCACTATCAAATAAATAGCTATTAAAATCTTTAATTTACTATTGTCCTATACACACTATAATCATACGTTTTAAAATATTTTAATATTTAATATTTAGTATGCTCTGAACCTCACAGCCCACAATTATCCTATTCAATAAGTTACTCACTGCATTTGCATCCTCTTGAATGCAAATCTTGTTTGTTTAACAATCTTTATGTTTATGTGGTTCTATGTATGTTAACATGAAATTGCATTATTATTAATGATCAAAAATATGGAAATAATCTCATTGATGTGTAAACGAGTACAGCAAAAATACTTAAATACTTAACCATTTCATCTTTCTCATCTTTAATTCAATCGTATTTATTACAAAAAAAAAAAAAAACAGACTATTAAGGTCGTTGGATTTGAAGTTTCAACATCTGTCCTCTCTGTTATTGCATGCCTTAATAAGTTAGGTCTTTCTTACTAACTCGAATGTCCAGCTGGCTAGGAAGCTTTAAAGAAAAAGGAATTTTTCGCAAATAAGCATCCATTATAAACATCATCTATTGCAGACATTTATATGTAATTAGGATACTAACAAGCTATAACAATTATAGTGGAAAAATCCCTGTTCTTTATGATAGTGATTTTAAATTTACCATTACCTAGTGTCTAAATACCAAGGAAAACATAGTGACAAAGTCTTGATGCCTCACGATATTCATAAAGTTGCATTAGTTGATTAATTCATTTCTTATAAATCGTCTTACTATGATCCACTAATAAGAACAATCATATTTCAAGAAGTATTCCGAACAATTCCAGAAAATCCAGAATCAATTAAGCAGTCACATAAAGAGATTGATAAAGTTTTAGAAGTTTATGACAAGCTTTTAGAAGGAAAAGAATATTTAGCTGGCAAATTTTCCTTAGCCAATCTTTTACATTGTCCTTCTACCAAACATGTTGATTTGTGGAATAAAAGACTTAATGTTAAAAAATGGTGGGATAGAATAAGCAACAGAGATGCCTGGAAAAAAGCTTGGGAAGGCAACAGAGCTGCCTGGAAAAAGATATTGGAAGAGAAAGAGAAATAGTTTTCAAAATATACTATATATTATATAGTTCATATATTGCTTATACTTACCATTAATGCAGTTAGCTTACTTTTTTACATATGTTCTAATTTATTTTTTACTTTTGAATTTATTTAGTATATTGCTAAAAATTTACTTATATTAATAAAATTTTTTCTTGCAGTTTACATTATCAAATATTGTTTATAGTAACCGGTTATAATCATAACAGATAGTTAGTATTAGCCAGTCTGGCTTAACTGACTGGTTAAAATCGTAATTAATGCCTGATTTTTAATTTAATTTTTTGATAAATTATAAATACTGTAGTTTAAAGCTATGTAAAGTTAATTAATTGGTTCTCATAACCCTTTTATAAATAATTTTTTATATGTTTTAATAACCGGGTAGGTTTTTAAAAAAAAAAAATTTAAAAATTTTATAAATTGCTATATATAAAATTAAAAAAAAAAGCCGGTCGCTGGGTTTATTTAAAAAGGCTCATGTTACAAGAACTAATAAATTAAATTTGCATGGCTTAACTAAATATTTTTATATAAGAAAATAGGCAGAAATCAGGTGATTTTAATTTACTAAGAGCATTAGGGTGTTCAGGATTATGATCCGACAAATGCCAAATTATGCATCCGGTAAAATGCAAATTATGTGTCTTAGGATTAGGGTTAAAAATTAGACTGCTTGAAGTTAAACTTTCGTTTAATATTATCCCCTCTCATCCCTGAGTCTCCCTAAAATTAAACAAATAGAAGTAACAAATTAGTTAATATAATGGTCAGCATGGTGACCAGAGTTTTTCAGATTTTTCAGTACACTCTATGTTTATTTTTAACTTATTTAAACTACAAACGGTTTACATTACTTAGTTAAAAATTTGTTGTCATAATTTTATTGTCTAAAGTGTAGCGAGGGACTCGTTATAAGCCAAATTTGTCTGTCAGTTCGCCTATATGATATGCCGCATATATGTCATAATCAATTAATCGCACAAAAAATGTGCGGCAGATTCTCGATTTTGATTGGCTAATAGCCGAGGATCCCAAAATTTTGGCCTGCAATACATTGTTTGCTGATTTTTGACCGGAATTAACTTTTAATTTTTTTATTACAAAAATAAAAATAAGCCCGCATTATGGTAAAATTGGCCTAGGAACAATTTTCACTTAATAGGCGGCTGCGATTTCATTAGTAAAATTGTGATCTAATCTAATCAAAATCGAGGATCTGCTGTGCATTTTTTGTGCAGCACCTAGGTTCTGTTAGCAACACCCAATCACAGTACTTATGCTAGTTACACAGCATATTATTTATCTCCTGATAACCTAGTTTTTATATATTTTTATATACTTTTAGAAAAAAATTTGATACGTTTGAACAGTATATAGTAGTTAAAAATTACTGAGCATGTATCTCTAAACTCATGAAATATTTTAATCAAATTAACAAATACATAAAAAATTAAATAACCTTAAAATTTATGAATAAAAAATTACAAATCAGATTTTCAAGTTCGTAGTATATATGTATTGCTATTTTAGTATCAGGCCACAAGTTCAACCTTTATTACAAAATTGTTGAATAAAATAGAATATAAAAAACTTCACGAATATCAATATAATCAGCATGTTTTGATTATTTTATATATACAGTATATGTATATTACCTTTTTTCTCTATATGTCTAGAAATAATTTTAAAAATCATTTAATTATTGATAACTATCATTATTTCTGAGCTGCGTAAGTTTTTTCGTAAATCGCACTTCGCTATACCATGATATCCGTCTTTTTTTACAATTGGCAATTATTCCTTCTTTGGTATAATAAACGCACAACTATTGTTGAAATATTTTATATAAAAATACTTTTTGAAATAAAAAATAATAATAGATATATACAAGTACTTACTGCCTATTTAACAATTGCCTCAAACATATAAACAAATTTTAGCATTTCGGTCCAATCTTGGAATATGATATATTAGTCAACTTCAAACAATTTATGAACATCTGAAAAGAGCAATCAAATATATCAATATAAAATGTTCAAGCAACTACAATTATTATATTATTTAAGTATACAGTATATCATTTATAGAATTATATTATCCCGAAAATCTAGCATCAATAAACAAACTTCCGTTTGGTGGGCCGTTATTCCATATGTATGTAAATTTGCAAACAACTGATAACGGGTATAAGCTTCGGACAAGATAATGTGGTTATAGAGACAGACCATGGATTTCACAACTTTTGCATCAATGCTAATATTCTTTTTTGTTGAAGCATTAGGCCTTGCTCCTTCTCTAATAACGATAGCATAATTAGAAACATCATTAATATATCCGACACCGTCTGATTGTATATTAGTTTTTTGCCTTCTCATGGGTATTTCACCACTACAAATATCATATAAGTGCACTGATAAACCCGATAAAAATGATTCAAGATTGATGCCATTTACTATATATAGTTTATTCAGCCAATATCCAAAGAGCTGCGTCAACAACTAGGTAGACGAATTGATTAAGGTGCGTTTTTTTCAGTGTGGTGAGATCTTGGAGAGGGTTTAGCACATTTAATGAGAAGGCCTTAAAACTAATAACAACAATAACTTAGTGCTTATTTCCATACACAATCCCACGATACCAACTTACAACTGAACTAAAGTCCACTTTAATAATTTTTTGGTTTTACAGATAATTTCAAAATCTGATTTATTTATAACTATTTCATCAACAGCATTATCCCACCCTTCTGGAGAATGGTGCTTATTAAAAAATTCTGTTAGAAAGGGGTGCAACTTTTCCGTGATTAATTCATCAACATAATCAAAAATCTGGTAAAGAATTTCTTCATGTAAATCTGTAATGATAATCAACGAGAAATTTGAAGAAGGTCATAGATCCATAACTGATCCTTCACCATCAAAAGACTGGAATGCGTCTGTTAATTCTTTGTTAATTTGCAATGCATTCATGTTTTCTTGAAAGATATTGACAACAAATAAAGTCTAATAATAATAAATAATCAATAATATACTGTCAAAAGATATAACGCAAACCAAGTTACAACTGATCTGTCTTTCAACATCTTCATTATCTTCATCTCGACAGTTTATATCCGTATTATTGCAGCTAATCTTGCCTTAATGTTTTCATAACTGGACTCTTCTCAGTTCTCCTTCTTATCGTCGTCCTTATTATCTTCATTGTATATGTCTTCATTATTTTCATTGTACATGTCTTCATTATCTTCACTATTATTATTATCTTTACTGTTACTATCTTTAGTGGCATTACTTTTACCATCATTATCTTTATTATACGCACTCTATAAATAAAGATTTGTTATGCCTTTTGAGTATACTATTACAAATGCCTTAGCCAATTTCAACTAGCTTATAACATCACCTGGTTTATTGTCAACATATTTAATTCTTTATGAACATGCGTATTTGCGATCCGAATGGAATGACGAATTTTGACCTATATAGTTCAACAATTGAGAGACTGCTAATACTGAATTAAACCATTTAAACATTTGAGAAAAGCAACTGAACATATAGCTATCTTTTCTTGATTCCACCGTTTCCAGTCACATTGAAGCATATGGTCCTAGGTAGAATAGAACATATGCGTAAGAAATATTGATTCATAATATAGAGCCAATAATATCCTTGAAAAAATTATAACTACTACAAACATTAAGATTATTTTGTATTATTTGAAGTCTTTCTTTCATGGTATCATCTGAACAACGAGTTAAGGCAACCCAGAGAGAATCGCGATACTTTGAAAAATGCCTTAGAATGATGTACTGGAGAGCTGAAGCAAAAAAATTCTAGTAGAGTAGGGTTACTACTACTTAGCATCTAGGTGTTGTTTCTTTCTTTTATGGAGACTGAAGACCTCACCATTCTTGTATTAGCAATAAAGAAAGCAAGTTAATATATATCTTTTAATAAAGCTTAATCAACAATTGTTTATGGGTTGTTTTCTTATCTAAAGCCGGCCACCCCTATACGATAACTTGCATTGCTACTCCCGGTTGACTTAAGCCAACCTGCTGATGCCTAGATGATCAACAAGCCCACACAGCACTTTTCATAATGAAATTGGCTGGCCACCCCTACACGATGACTTGCATTGCTGCTCCTGGTTGACTTAAGCCAACCTGCTAATACTTTCATTCATGCGTAGCAAAAGTGTAGCAATTTACGAGACTAATATTACATATACTTAACTTTTTAAGACTAATAAGATGTAAACAATCAGAATTGTATATGATTAAGGTCGTGTTAGTTTGTATTAGATTCACCATAATGTCTATTAAAACATTTACATACTATCGCAGCAATGCACAAGTTCAGAAGTTATGTTGGAAACTATGATACTAAAACAGCGTATATCTACTGATTTAACTCATATTTCTATTGGCTGTACTATGTAAACAAAACGTGAAGAACATTTGTTTTAAAATATAAACAAGTAAACAATATGATGGATTATTAAATTGATTATGATTGGCTTATAATCCGTCACATTGCTCCAGTATTAAATATTATTTTATATAAATATTATTATAAAAGTTTTTAAATATATAAAGCAAGTTAATATTTTATATATTTGTATATATAAGGCCACACAAAATTATATACTTGGTTTTCATATCATGGAACAGTGATCAGTGACACAGGTACGTGGCTTTTTTTTTTATAATCAAAAAAATTTTTTTTACATAATAATAAAAAAGCTTATTAAACCTTGTTATCCTATGTCTTATGATATAAACTTTTACATTACTAGTAGTTAGGCTAGAGGTTGGAACCGGTTTTAAATATTCGAGTTTATCACATCAAAATTTGAGTTTATCACACCAAAATTTGAGTTTATCACATCAATTATTAATAATTCATGTGATAAACTCGAATTTTGATATGATAAACTCGAATTTTGATGTTATAAACTCGAATATTTAAAACCGGTTCCAACCTCTAAGTTAGGCACGTTCAAATATCCATACTCAAGGTAACTCGATACGTCATAGATTAGTGATAAATTTTGCTAGTACTAGTAATCTATGCGTAAGTAGAATTGCCCAGATGCTAATTTTGCTTATAATATAGTTAGTTATTATTATTGCTTAATACCAGCCTAACACTGATGCATTTTAGCTCTAAATCATGGCTGATTTGCTAAATTTTGGTTGTACGACTAATCTATCCGTAAATATTATGATCTTTGCTAAAAATATAGCGCGAAACTATGATTCTTCTGAAGAGCAATTTAAGATTCCATATGTAAGATTAACATAATAGTATTGATAGATAAAATAATGAATGAACAATATAATGTTTAATGAATAGTAGTATAAGATATACAAAATGTTAATTTTAATTTTAGTCTTATCTGAACTCAAAATTATATGGTGTCCTACGTACTTACACTTGTAAATTATAAAATTTAAACCTGAATTAACAATAATTTCTAAATCTAAAACTATTAATATATGACACATAATTAACATGGCACAAATCTTAAAATCACACCTCATCATAATGATCACAAATCATAATTCAACACATTGACCGTTCTTTTTTTAGGTGCTTAAATAAATAAACGAAATAAATAACTTAAGTATAAAAAAAAAGATTAACAGATGAATAAATTACATACAGAACATTGAACCCTTATTAACTAAAGAATCACCTACTGTATATTAATGTCGATGTATGTCTTAATGTTTTGAGAAATATTGAAAAATGAAAGCAATAAATTTTCATTGATACTTATTGTTGAAAAAGATAAATAATTATATTGATTTTGTTAGTTAAGACCGTAATTTGAATCTGAACTGTTATAGGATTGAGATTATAAATATCATAATTTCTTGTTATACTAAGTGTCACTCGTGACTACCTTCATTATTATTTTTTTTACACATAATTAACTATAAAATATTCCCAGTCACTATTTTTTACATTATATCATTTTCTTTTTTGTATGTTTCACGTTTTATATAAAGAACTTTAAAAGCCAAAGTAAATAAACACAATAAAATGAAGCTAAAAAAAGACACGATAAGAACAAAGTGAAAGTAAGAGTTTAAAAAAAGTTAAACATAGAAGTAAAAAAACAAAGGTGATAAAAAAATAAAACAGTAAACCAAAAGTTAGTAAAGCTCAATACAAATATAGATATGGAACATGTGTAAAAATAATAGTAATCTGATTAATATCTAGTGACACACTCCTGGAGATGTGGAGAAATTATAGCAGAGGTTACCGATGATCATAGTACGTGGATAACTCTTCGGGCCATCCATGTGCTATAATTATCGGTAATCTCTGCCATAATTTTTACTCCAGGAAATAAATAATATTAATATAGTTAATAATTAAAAAAATAATTAAAAACATTCAACAACCAATTTATAATGATATGTAGATCGGTCTTGAAACTAATTTTCAATTTCAATTCTTAGGAAATATGTATATTATTGCGCTTTGCAAAAAGAAGCGACCTCTGCAGATTATAAAGTTGTATAAAATCCGAGATTCTGTAGATTTTAAGAACCTTACCAATTTTAAATAAATGTAAATATAACTGATCGAAAATATGAATTAATAGACAATTTAGAATTTTAGAAATTTTTCTCATTCATCATTACAAAATCATAGGGTTATATCCTTTTGCAAAACACTATAATTACTAAATATATATAGGATCAAAATCACTGAGATTTTTTGAATTTTTTGATCGGGTAAAATTAAACCAGAATATTGATTGCTATTATATGTAAATCGGCATTTTACTTTATTGATTCTATAGTTCATTTAACAAACTATGAAATCAATAAGTAAAAGATAATTTACATATAAAAAAGAATCGAAATTCTGGTCCAAGTTTGTCTAAATTTGCCTGATCTGAAAATCTTGGAGGGTGATTTTTCAAGCAAAGTTTCTATATAAATATATAAAGAAAAAAAATTTCCAATTCTCACTTTGTCAATACAGGCAGGATATGAAAACCAATTGTATAAATTTATATAGCCTAATATATTATAATATAAAAAAAAATATAGTATTTTGATTCAAATAGAGAATTTTATATATTTAGTTTTTTTAGCTATAATCTATTAAATAGTACAGTCAGACCTCTCTAAATGCACATTATCGGGACTGGCTCTGACATGTGCATTTAGAGAGGTATTGCATTTAGAGAGGTAAAAATTTATAGATATAATATTAGTTGGGCCCAAAAGAAAACATGCATTTAGAGAGGTGCTGCATTTAGGGAGGGTGTATTTAGGGGGGTCTAACTGTATTTGAATTTAGTAAGATTATTACTATTTAATTTATTTAACTAATGCAATCCAAATTATATAAAAAATTGTATAATGCTATTTATTAAATTACAAAATAAATAAAGATTAAATATTAAAGTTTTTATATTTAAACTTTTTTAAATTTAACAATATATTATATTATTTGAACAAAATATAAAGAAAAAATATAGTAATACAATATAAAATATAGTTAACTTTTTTATATATATGTTCTCTAAATACAAATTATATTAAATTTCTAGTTTTAAGCTATATAAAGTTATAATAAATTTATATATTCTAAGTACAAGTTCTCTCTAAACACAAAATTTTTTTATTTAAAAAAATTTTATAAATTCTAGCAAGCTATATTTAGAAAAAATCAACTGCATATAGTTTATTATGATATTTAAAATATAAAAAATTAATAGCAATTTTTAATAAGTATATTTTATTCAATATAGTAATTTCATATTTTTTATTCAAAAAAAGGTTATACAGTTGTCTCTCCATATAGTCACCTCCTATATAATTACATTATATGTAATCATATCTTTATTTAGGCCAAACTATGATTCAATCTATAAAAGCACAACCTCTTTATATACACATTTTTTAAAAAATTTACTATGTGCCCAACTGTGTAATTGTATAAGAGGATGACTGTATTTATTTAAAATTATTTAAATTGTTATAGATCTAAAAAAAAAAAAAAGAATACAGGTTTTTGGATTTTAAAAATCTTAAGTTTTTTTTATCTAAGCTTTTATTAAAAGTTCTCTTAATCATAACCAATTGAACTCTCTCCATCGATTACCAAAACCAAATTTGGAGCTAAAGAATAACCAAGGCTTGGTTACAATTTTATTAAGACAACAATAGAACTTGCTTTAAGCAAAAGAATAAAACACAAGAAAAGAACTTGAGTTTTTTAGAACAACTATACTTACTATATCCTTTAAAATGCACTATTAAGAAAATTATATACTTTTAACAAAAATTTTAAATTTTTTTAGAAATTTTGTGAAATTTCCATTAACCCTGTATTGCAAATCACATTTGAACAAAACAAACAAACATGTCCATTTTAAACAAATAAACAAATAAATCAAATTAGTAAATAATTAACTAACAAAACAAACAACCACATATATTTACAAACAACAAAACAGTATGCATAAAATCGAAATACAAGTAAACAAACAATACATGTAAAATGCTAGAACTCACTGACTACAAAAATTTCTTTACAAAGTCAGAATTAGAAAGAGTAGTAATACAAGAAAAGCAAAATTCATTTATTTTAGATACAGATAGAAAAAGTTGCAAAATACTTAGAAACTAGCAAAACATATCTTATCACAATTGTCTACAACGTTTTATAATTTTATAATTATACTCAGTACAAGAAAGTT